AGGGTAACCCTGTCAAGTGAGAGAATTTTTCCTCACATAATCACTTAATTTCTCACCTGCTGGGAAGACAAGACAGTGCAAATATTGTAACCAGCCAGGCTATGACATGAGGGACTGGTGCAAGGACTCAATAAAAATACTCCATAAAGTTGTCTCGAGGGGAGGGCTGTCTCAGGTACCCAGAGGCATAGGTACATTGTAATCAGTTCTTTCTAAGGTGCTACTGTACAGCACTTTATGCACCTATCAATGTCTTGCCCCAACCGGGGAAGTGCGGGCATGCATGGGCTAATGAAAAAAAAATACGTCCCAAGAGAGGGGATGTGTTTACTTATTTGACATAGGGGTCCCCCAAGGGTTGGGTTTTATTGATAATTGACCGGGATAGACTGGGTCGGAAACCTTTCAAGATGGTGGACGAGGCGAAAAATGCAGCCGAAAACATGGTTAAAAAAGTAAGAAATTAAACCTTAGCTGTCATTCTTTCACAACTTTTTCAGCTTCGATGGGGCATTATTGACATGTACACACACCACCACGGTGGGGATTATTGACAAGAATTTTTGAAAATTGTCACTAGCCCCTGGGTATTCCCGCACTCCCCCGGTTGGGGCAAGACATGGAGAGGTGAATTAGGGCCTGCTGATAACCTGACTACGATGTTGATTGTAAGTATTGTTTACGGATTGCAATGGAAAACTGGGTGAATGGAAAATGATAACAAAAAGAGGATGAGAAACGAGTCAGCACGCTCAATTAGAGTAAGGAATAATTTATACTAAGGATAATTTGCTCTTGTACGATCGGAATCTCCAAATAAATATCAACTCCTTCATGCGAGACCGCCAAAGCGGAAAGAGTGCGCAGTATACCGCACTACATCTTCCTTTCTAACTTTCTTTCATAGCTATCAGAAGCACACAGAGTTTACATGCCTCTGTAGCTATTTATTAGCTGTCAACGATGGCTAGTTCGCTTCAAACTTCTGCACTTGAGAGGCTTCTTCATGACCTTACCTCGTGTCCGCGGGCGGACAATTCCTCCATAATTTTCTTTATGGTGAAATAATGGGAGCCCGAATTTGTTCCACTAAATCCTGCAATTCTGGCAGACAAAGAGGAGTTTACAGTCGTGAGAGCAACAAACAGGACGATCTTTGGTTTCAGCGCCATCTTTGAAGATCAGATGACGTCACGCCTGAGGCGAGAACTCTGTATTCAGTCACGCGAGACCGACTGCGAAGAAAATGGGGTATGGCGGAGAAGAACGCGATGAAAAAAGGATGAAAAGTATGAAGTAAGCTTTCGCCATGGACTTAATTAACATCAATTATCTAGTCATGTTGCAAATCTACGCACAGGAACTGAGATTTTTCCACAAGATGTCACCAGGTTCAGCGCAGCTTTTTTTTTTTCTTTTTAAAGAACTGCTAGAACGTTGAAACGTTCCCCTTAAAAGTAAGCTTTCCCGCTATTTCTTATAGGTAAATCAATGTACGTAGGGATTATATCAGTCGATATTAGAATAAGAACAGGCTTCTATATAAACGCGTTATTGACCAAGAGTGAGATCAAGATGGCTGGATATCGGCCGAGTTCGCCAAAAAATAAAAAATAAAAACAGGCAAATATCTAGCCATTTTAATCGAACAAGCTTGATCAATAAAGGAGTTATTATATGGCTAGGTTTCCCTTTTTTAATAAGACTCAAGAATGACTTGTTTCTTTCGAAAGCCGGGAAAAAATAAACCCAAAGGTGTCGTTTAATTTTTCTTTTTTTTTTTTTGATTGTCTTCCGCTTTTTGCGACTTCGTCGCCGACAATGTCCAAACGCTACGAGGGTTGTAAGTCCGCTTCTCACACTCTTGCACGGAATCAAAACGGGCAATCCGAAGCGGGCAAGATGGGCTCGGGAAGCCAATCAGAGCACAGGATTCACTTCATATTGCCCACGGGCGCAGCCAGTTATATAATAAGAATAATTCCTTACTGGGCGAGTTCACTGGACTGAAAAGCCCTGACCAGGTTTGGAACCAGGAACTTTTGTTACGAGAATGGGTCAAAACCTTTTTTTTTGACATCATCACATGACATCAGCACATCACATGATCTCAGTCGCTCAAGAATGTTCCGTTTTTTGTTATGTTTGGGGAGGCATATTCAGTCGAGTAACGAGGTCCGATGAGCAGATAAAAACCAATAAAGACGAAATTTGGTCATTAAAGTTCTGGTCGTTACATATCGAGAAAAAAATAGACCAATTTTCCAAAAAAATTGTATCGAACTATCTACTGTAATCAACTATAAGTATATACACTAGTTAACAAAGTTTTAAGTAAAAATGACAGTCTACCAGGAAGCAGGCCCCTATCATTGCATTTCTTGGCTTGCGGGAAGATTTAAGACACCTTGGGGAAAGATTTGCCAAGGATCTAGACCCCATGGGCAACAAAAGTCGGCCTCCCCGTCTCGCGATATTAAAACCTCATACCGCTGGCAAGCGAAGAAATGTTCCTTCCAAAGTGCTGAAAACGAGAGCATGCTCGCTACCTACATCAAAATAGCAACGTCTGGAATTCCATTATTGCTACAGTTAACCTTTTAGATCTGACTAAAATTTACTTGGTGACAACAGAAATACTGAAAAACTAAGTAACAATCGATTCATGACTCGTGATGTCACACGCTCGGGTCGAAAGAGTTTAATCATTCTTCGCTTTCTCGCTGCTTGGACGAAAACACACACGACACATGCATCTACATGTCCATCTGATCACCATGACGACAAATGCAACTATGGCAACAAGGAAAGCTATGACATCAAGTAAGTAGTACTGGTACCAAGGGATGTTAAACACTTGAGCTCTGAGGTGTTGGGCTCCACTATGTCTGTGTACATACTCTATCCAGTCACCAGCTTTCTCCAGGGGAGTCCGTGGACTGTCTTTCATAAGGCGAGAAATGCGCATAGCATTTTTCTTGAAACTGAAGAGAAAGAATGAAATAATAATATTGCAAAAATTAGGAGTTAACAATCTCACTTCTGATTCTTTCATACAGGAAAAAATGAAAAAAAGAAAAAAAAAAATTAAAACAATGACCTATGAGTTTATTGTCTCCCTATGGGATTGTCAGTAGTTGCTGTCAGGTTTGTTAGATTGATCATACATTCTCAAATGCAATATTCCAGGAAGGATGATAGTTTGCCCAGTGACTTTGAAAGTAATTTAATAATTTTTCTTTGGTAAGGTAAGGGTTCTAAGGCAGGTTTTTTTTTGTCACGTGCAATGTGTAAGTTTTGAACATTTCTGGGCCCATTTCTCCCTTAGATAACCAATCATGTTGTTGGAATTCTTCTAGCTTGGTCTGTTGCTAAATATTGTACCAGTGACCTGGACAGAATTTCTCCTTCCAATATCAATGTAATATCATGCAGACAAGTTATAAACTACCTTGGTTCGGTTATCACATTCTCTATTGTCTTAACAAAGTCCTCAGTAGTCACAGTTTGGTGATCCACAGTAATACCCAATCCAAAGTGTTCTACCTTCCCGGCATTAAAAAACTGATCAGCAAACAGAGGAACAGCCACCACAGGGACCCCATGGTAAACTGACTCGTATAGACTGCTGTGTCCCACGTGAGAAACAAAAGCTTTGATATCTTTGTGAGCCAAGAGATCATTCTGAGGTATCCACTTCACTACTTTGATGTTTGCACCAAGGTGAGAAGGAATGTAGCCTGAAGAAGTTCAAAGCTTCATCAACTCAAGAAAATGGGGAGAGTGATTTAATAAAAGCAATTAAAATCTCATTTACATTCACTATAACTATTTAGACTTTGAGAGAAAAGGAATGCATCCAGAATAAAGAGAGAGGAAACAATGTTCCTACCTCACGAAGAATTCAAAGTTTCATAAATTAATAAAAAAAATTGGGAAAACTATTTTATAACGGCAATTAAAATCTTAGTTACATTCACCTGCTATTGTCATTCCTATAATTGCTGTTACAATAATTTTAGAGTTGAAGAAAGCAAAAAAAATAATAACATGTATGATAACGATGATGATGGTGATTAATAATAACTGATGATAACAAAACATTACCTTTAAGTTTCCATATAACTTTCTGCTTCAACTTTCCAAACGCCACAGCTAAAACATTGATCGTCCTGTGAGAAATAATTGTTTCTGCATAAGATCCAAAAGAGGCGATAATGAACCCGTGCCCTCCAGAACTGTCAATAATGTTGGCCAAGTCAGGGGGGAGTGGGTCAGGTTCTGCTTTAGCAGTGATGGGACCAACCATAACCTGACCTATATAAGAAAAAAGAAAAAGAAAAGTTAAAAAAAAACAATTTGGTCTGTGAGGTATCTACAAAAAGCCCACCGACTGATTTGCTTAGAAGGTATTTTGAGAAATGAAAGTGCTTTTTTAATGCACATTAAGAGATAATAAACAAAGAGAAGTTATCCTTATGACCTAAGATAATTATTTTAAGTCTTTTAAATTTTGTGCTGCATTGAGATGTTATTCTCATTGACAACACGGTCAACAATCTTGATTTCATATGTTGTTGATGGGGAAGGTGGTGCATGGATAGCAGTGTGGGGATAGACCAGTATCCCATTTGGGATGGGTAGCAATACTCTTAGTCACCACATGCAACAGAATCCAGGATAAGCAACAGCTGGATGAACTTTACACTTTGCATAAATGCAGCCCTTTTCTTTGAATTAATTTGTTGCCATTAGAAACACAAACCTGTCACCCCAGACATTTACTGAGTTGTGCTCCCAGGTGGCTTGTTGGCTCAGTTGGTAGAGCACTGCACCAGTATTGCACAGGTCATGGTTTCAAATTCCGTGAGGGCCAAAATTTTTTTCAGGCCTTATTTTCACTACTGCTTATAAAAGCAGTGTTCATTACTGTGAGGATTGCTTTCATATACAAGGATGCGTTCCCTTCTTTTTCAAAATCGTTGTTATCATCAAAACTAATTTCCACATGCTCCCCATTAGATAGCCTTTACTCAGAGAATTAGTTTATGAAATGAGCATTTATGTGGATGTCTTGTCTAGGAAAATTGATTTCTGTCTTAGAGGACTATTAGTGAACATTTTAAGAGGAATTGAAATATCCCATGGCCCAGGAATTGAAAATTCTTTTGAAATCCAAAATAAAGTTACTGAGCACCTTTAAATTGCATTAATTGCAAACCTGGCAGAAGTGGCTGTGGATATTCAAGTGCAAAGTCTCCAAGAATAAGCACTAAATCAGCATTCCCAAGAACATTTTCAAGTTCTTTCTCAGGTGCAATATTGTATTTTTCCTTGAGGCGACAGAAACTTGGAGATTGCAAAATGTGCATAGCAAACCCAAAATTGATGTATGTGACAGTGTTCATGACACGCTGTATAAATGACATGTCACTTGTAAATGCAGAGAGACGTGAAGGCACATATGAAAACAGACAAGGAACTTTGAAATGTAAACAAGCTACTGGAGCATTGGGAGAAGGTATTAAAACCACTGCGGGAATTTTTAGGAGATCTGCCACCATCGAAGCACACATGAAAAGTCTTTCAAATACTATCAAGTCAAACTTCCTCAGATATTGAATCAGTTCTGTATTATTTAGCAAAAGTTCGCAAATGACACTTTGCATCTCTGAAAAATTGATCACAGCCTTCCAAATGCCATCTTCCATAACAGTTTTTACAAAATACTCCTCAAAATAAGCTTGGTCATATGGCACATTGAATATCTTGTGAGATATCCTCTGTCCAATAGTTGGTGGATCATTTTGATTGGCTGGCTTAACCAGCACAACCTATATTGAAAAGAAGGCATGACAGTGATTCACAGTGATTTAAGAGAAATCCGCACCTTGGTGTGCAGCCTCACCTCACAAGAAAGAAGTGCATAAGGATCTGCTAATAAATCATACTTAATCTATAGCTGATCGACCCCTTTTTACAAAAATGATTTTGCTGCCTGAATCAAACTCTCCAAGGGCCCATCTTTATGGTTTCCAATATGTGAGACAACCTTTCCCAAGCTAACTTTTCATTTATTTCTTTGAAAATTTCATCAAACCAAATGGGAAACTATTCTTAGAGAGGCAAGGCATCTCAGGAGGACATCTTGACTGGGCAAATAGGGCAACTCTGTCAAGCAAGACAACTTTTTTTCATGTTATCACTTTGTCTTGCCTGCCCAAGGCAAGACAGCTCAAATTTTTCTATAAATATGCAACTTTCCAAGCCATCACAAGAGAGACTGGTGATGGGACCCTAAATATAAAAATTTCATAAAGGTATCCCAAAACCATTATAAGTCTAGGTGCCAGAAAGATTTCCATATAACCCCATAAATTAATTATGCATTCCATTTCAGAAAGGATTCTTTGCAGCACTACATGCATAATTAATGTATGGGGTTATATAGAAATCTTGCTCAAGGTGCCTTCTAATCAGTAATACATATCTACTGAAGCACAGCAGTGCTTGCTGATAACCAGACTATGAGGTAGACTGTAAGTATTGTATGTGGATTGCAATTGAAAAATGGGTGAATGGAAATTAAATGATAAAAAAGAGGATGAGAAGCGAGTCAGCACGCTAAACTATGAGTAACTTACTCTAGCACGATCAAAAACCCCTTCATGCAAGACCACGAAAGCAAAAATAATTTGTGGTACTCCATTATAAGGGCTTAATGGGGACGTGCGGCCAGCCAGGATATGTTTTTCGAGATTTTTGTCTTAAACAGGGTATCGAATTTATCACTTTTTGTCTTAATCAGGGTATCGATTTATCAATTTATGTCTTAAACAGGATATCTTTTCTTGGAAGATAAACAGCAAAATTTTTACAAGCTCTAATTTAAATTAATATTGAATTCCGTTGATTTTGGCATTGATACCAGGCACATTAAATGTCTTAAACAGGGTATCAAAAATCGGAATTCTGTCTTAAACAGGGAAGGAAAATCAGCGATATTTGTCTTAAACAGGGTCAGGGTATGAGGGGCCGCGCCGCACCTCCCCACCCAGGAATATATCGAGTACCCCCCCGGGAGTATGCCGCACTACATATTCCTTTCTGACTTTCTTTTATAGCTATTAGAAGCGTACAGAGTTTACCTGCCTCTGTAGGTATTTACTAGCTTTCAACCTTCCATGGCCTTACCTCGTGTCCGCGAGCGAACATTTCCTCCATAACTTTCTTTATGGTGAAACAATGGGATCCCGAATTCGTTCCACTAAAACCTGCAATTCTGGCAGACAAAGAAGAGTTTACTGTCACAAGAGTAACAAGCAGGACGATCATAGCTTTCAGCGCCATTTTTGTGGATCAGATGACGTGCACCTGAGGCAAGAGCTCTGCATCTAGTCACGCGAGACTGACTGAGAAGTGTATGAGATATGAGGAAAGGAAAAAGAGCAGGGAGGGGGTAGGGCATCTCCATCGTGGCAATGCCTACCGTCCCAGGGGTTCCAAAATCCCCTATTTTACTGTTTGGGCAAAACTCAATAGGAATGTCCATTATAATCAGAAATTGTATACTATTTCAAACTGAGCCTTTGAGAAAGGAAAGAGCTCACAATCAGAGGTCAGTACCAGGACATTTTAAGCCAAATTTTTGAAGTCAGTTGCACAGAAGGCCACCATGCTGATGAACCCAAATTTTACACCTTCCTTCAAAGCTCGTAAGCTACATCTCTTTACCTTTACCTTAACTTTAAAATGCACCAGGACCTAACGTAACCATTTTTCACCTTGACTCGCAGTCTTAAGGCATAGAGTAAGGGAGACTGGTACTAAGGGTTGTGGGTAGAGGAAGATGCAGGTTTGGGAAAGTTTCATTGTGACTCACCCATGGCCCAAAGAAAACAGAGACAAGAATTTGCTGATTGCAAAAGTTGATGAAAGTGTTTGTTGTAAAAATTACTGAGCAGTGGAAATTACAGTTAATAAAAAAATTGATCCATGTGTCAGCATGTCTCAAACTCCAAGAGTACTTCATATCTTGATGGAAGCATCACTGATGAGATGATAAGGAGAGTGATCATCATCTAATTTCTCCTTTCATTAATACTGTTGAATTTTTCATTAAAATAATGAGAAAAAAGGAAATGATCATCAACCCAAGAAGCTTTGATTTTTTTAGTGAATTCTCCTCATCATCACAAAAGGGAATTTATAGAGAAGAGTATAGAGAATCACAATACTGATGCGGGGTAAAAAGGGTTAAATTCTATGTGATGTCATTGATGCAGTAGTTTTGATGTTGCTTCTAGAAAAACTTTCCCTTCTGCACATCTATGGATACATTTAAGTCAATCGCATTTGCAGCTGAAATATGAAGCAAGCTTTTGCCATGTATTTGATTAACATTAATGTAACCCTTTTACTCCCAAAATCATATTAGAAATTCTCCTTACTGTCTGCCATACAATTTGAATGCTATTAATACAAAGAATTTGGTATTGGACGCACTAATGATCCCCTAATTGATATTTTTCTCTATTCCCATCACTTGTTTGCTTGATATTATATTGATATTGTAAGGAGAAATACATTCTTGGTCATTCTTTAATTTAATTTATTCACTATGGGAATGGCAGGAGAAAGGAACAGAATTTTCGTCCCAATTGACGCCTAACCTCTCCCCCAGTTCCCAGTAAACGGGCCAAACCATATCACAGTAATCTTGTGAGTGGGTTCTTTAACCTCCCCTGCCTAACCAAATTAACTAATTAATAGATGCAGGAGAAGGGACCTACGATTTATTGTTCCTTATCCGAGAAGACTAGAATGTCTATCCATTTTTTGATTTTTTAGAGAGGCAGCACATTCTCCTCAGTTATTTTAAAGACCTTGAGTGTTGGTCCGGCTGGGGCTTGAACCCTCAACCTCCCGCACAACAGTCCAGCGCTCTAACCAATGGAGCTAACCGGGAGGCAGCATTCATATTCATGGGAGTTAAAAGGTTAAATAGTTATGTTACATATCTACACATAGTAACTTGGATTTTTCCAAAAAGAGACTGAACAGGAAGTCACAATGCTATAATCATAAATGTATTTTAATGCTCCTGATATTTTATCATCTTCTATGAATTTAAGATTGTAAGGTCAAATATTACAAAACCAAGAATTAAGCAAGGCAATTTAAACTGTTGACCATCAAGAGCATATTAACCACACTACATGTACAGTTTCATTCTCTAATTGTTTAATCAATATATTATCTTATACTTTGACGTTAAAAAAACTAGAAATCATAATTTCTACCAGATTATCAATTCAATTTAAAAAGTGTTTGATATGAAGAATGTCCAGCTATACTCCATCGTAAGTTGGGAAATCATAAACTTCCATGACATCTTCAACTTTGTATGATGGGAAAAGACCATCTTGATGAGTCTTATGATTGACACCCTTAGAATATCCATCCCAGTGATTGCCAGCAATTCCTGCCCTATCCCCCACAGCTAGGTCTATCTGTGTAGAATCTTGAGCACGATGGGGATAGACAGCTTTCACATCATGACCCGACTGTCCACCAAAGTAGTAAATGTCATCCAAGGATTGGAATTTTTTAGCTGCATCTGGTTGAGATGATTGCATCAGTTCGTAAGCCACACGGCAAACCTAGTAGAAAAAGAAATGGGAAGTTGTCAGCCTTTGTCTTCTCACTTTTAACCTTTAAGGGTGACTTTCAACTAATTTCTCCTTACGATATCACCAGAATAATTCATTAAGGTCATGAGAATAAAGGAAATGATCACCAATGAAAGAAGCTCTTGATTGCTTAACATGTTCTTCTTACCAGCACCTTAGGAATTATATAGAGAACTGTATGGAGAATGTGCAACCTGAACTGTATGGAGAATGTGCAACCTGATGCTGGGGTGTACAGGGTTTACTGGTACAAACTAAATTCAAAGGAGCTACACTTACAGCTAGTTCAAGATTTATTCCAGACTCACTAAATTCTCAAGTGCCTCATTTGCGATCAGTTTTACCTTTCTCGACTTTCAATACTCCTAGTTCAGCTGTGATTTTATACGTAGTCATTTGGTATATTGAGTCAAAGCTTCCTGGCTTAAAATGAAAAATACTCTCTGTTTTGCAAGCAACTACCTTTCTGTCGTGGAAAAAATATTCAAAAACTGTCCCACTTTACCTGCGAAGAAAAGGTGCAAACCAAAAAATCGCACTCTGATAACATCTGAATATCAAACAGAACTCCATGTAGAGAAGAGTCTGAGTAGCGTGATCCAAGGCCAGCAGACTTGGAAATTTCCCGATCACTAACAAATTCATAGTTCTTGTACCTGAAAGGCAGGCATCAAATTGAATAAAAAAGTGCTATTCATCTCTATAGCAATAAATGTTTGTTTTAATGAAGCACCATTGTCTAGCCATGGAAGTATAAATCATCTGCATGTTTTACTCATTGCTAAGAAAACAAGATTAAAACATTTAATCTTTATTTCATATCTTGCTCCAAAGACATTTCCAAGATTCAAGAAACAAAACATATTGTAAAATACATCTAGAAAATCACAACCAAACTTCTCAGAATTTCCTGGAAAGCCAAAACAGTATTATCTTGAAGGGAAAACTTGTAAAGCTTTAGCTTAATGAAAATGTATCTGGAGACGTTTACAAGTTTACACATTGTCACAAGTTGATCATTCCGAGAATATGAGGTGACTCATAAATAAAAAACCTGTGCAGAAATTCTGACTTACTTGTCTTTTGCTTCAGGTAATAAATTAGCATCATCTGTAGCAAGATAGACACGTCTTTGTTCCACAGGTTGTACTCTTTCTAGTTTGTTATAGTACAAGTCTACCCAATACATGTATTCTTCTATGGAATGGAAAGCTGCTTCTGTGTTGATTTTATCAGTTCTTCGAACTTGAACCCTGAAAAAGAAGAGATAAATACAACTCAATTTACCAAGTAGGAGCAGCTAGAAACCTTTTAAATTCACGATGGTCCACATAAAAATGTGGTTTAATTAATCTTAAGCATAAAACATCTATTAATCAGTGTGAGATACAAAAACAGAATAATAATTCAAACAGTGATTTTGCAAATTTGTTTGCATGACAAGTTCGTAAGATTTACAAGTTGTGGCTCAAATTGTTCCTCAGTTTGAAGATTTGCAAATTTTTTTATTCATTTTTTGTTTTTGTCTTAGATTATTGCAATAAATTTATAAACAAGGAAAGCTAGTTTGAAAATATTCGATAAAAAACAAAGAGAAATTTAAACCACAACATTACGATTACAGAAAAAGCTAGAAAATGACTTGTAAGTTCTAACAGTATCAATACATTATTTAGCAAATAAGTGACAAGATTTAGCAAACATATCACCAAACTCTATTAACTAATCAACACAGCTTTCTGTTGTAACCAAAATGGAGAATTACTGATAAAATCTTAAGAGTGTAAGTGCCCAGGCTGTCAGGCTGATTTCAATTTTTAATTGGACTGAGAAGAATTAAGAAATGATAAATATATAATGTGATTTAATATTGATTGATCGTTGAATAATTATTTTCAGGAAATAATTTACACTTCTATTTTACCTAACAGCTTTACAAATACCATCCGGTTAGTTTTTGTCTCTAAGTAAACACAGGTTTTTTTTTTTGTTATTTGAATAAAGAATCAAAATAAATTTTACCCGACAATGGGTTTCTTGAAGCCAAGCAAAGTTCTTTTTTTGTCGATTTCTTCTTGCACAGCAGGTGAATAGCGAAATAAATATTTAGCAAACTGTCCGATCCACCACACGAACGGATGGCTGTGAATTCTCTGTACTCTGTTGGCCAAATCTTTAGGTACAGCCAACGGCATGTATGGAGGTCTGGGGTATAAACTATCGACAATTGGCATTAAAATATTTTGTTCACTTTTCGACGCGGACTCGCTCCATGCCGCTACATTGCCTTTATGGTTTGTACACGTTTCACTAACAGGTTTAAAAATCCCATTCCAGCCTTTCGGCGAATACCTCCAACCACTAGAGTCGATTATGAGAGTCCTTTGAAGACCGTAACCAACTATAAAACAATACATTAGGTGGTGAACTTGGCAACCGTAACCACATCCTTTATTGAGCTGACACACAAGCTTCTTCGTCGAATCGCAATCGGTTGGATTCTGTAAATGTTGCAGTCTTCTTTGAACAAGATCACCAAGTTCTTTATGCTCCTTCTCAACCCATTCTCTCTGTCCATTCATGGATTTTAAATTTTCAAAGTTTAAAGACAAAACATGATGCATATCTTCAACAGTCCACATCATCTTTGTCAGCTTCGATTTCACGCTTTCGCTAGCGGACTTCTTAATTCTGCTTACTTCTGCACTGATAAAATACCACATTTCTTTTAATTCCTTCTCTGCTCTCCGTCTTATCGTTAAAAATTCCAGACTAGACGGCGTAAATTTTACCGATGAAGTGTCAGAATCTTGATCACGCTTATCTTTGAGCTCGTGCGGTTCCATAGGAATCACCATCGAGGATTTATGAGCTAATAGTTTGCGTTGAAGATCTGAATTCTTCTGTCTAAGTTCCGCTACTTCCATTTCGAGTTTATTCTTGTCTGCTTGGAGCTCCGCTAACTTCTTTTTCAGTCCCCCGTTCTGGGTCTGAAGCAACTCAATTTGTCTTTCCTTTTGCAAAACTGCGGCAGCGCTTCGATTTGCATCCTCAACAACGGACAAAAGTTGATAGCCCATGTAGCCAAGGATAAGCAGCCATAGCGAAACAAGAAGAAAGACATACTTCCAAGTTGTTTTTGACATTTAAATAAACCAAGTAATCCCGCGAATCCCCACAAAGAAAACAGGCAAATCAATAGCTCATTACAGCTTTGTATGAATACAATACCGGCCTTCAATGAACCACCGTAGTATATTATATCCTCTTTTCGCTACCGCACCGAGGTCAAAATTGTGCAAATGGAAATATTAGACACAAAATAAAGAGGAATTATCGAACAAGACATCCGTTACGGAGGATTTACTATCCAACAACCAGAGATCACTTCCTTTTTACAGAGAGAGCGCACTTCCCATTGCGCTATGAGTTTCACGCGTTTCTTGTTCCTCGTAGATGTCCTGCCAGGCGTTATGTACCCGCGCCGCAGAAGATCGCAAAGAAGTCTGGGGAAGAAAACGACGATAGTACGATGAGTCCAACTCTTCTCCGATCGCTGCCGACATTATTCCGAGTATTTTAACTAATTGGTGCGTAAAGTTGAACGTTTTCCTTTCAGCAAAAAAATACTCCTTTGATGGTTGACTCAGCATCGCTTTTTTTTTAGCATCCTGCTGAATACAGCGATGCGCAGTTTCAGGGCATAACATTTCAAACATACTTTCAAATAGGTTATCCAATGTAAGATTGCAGCTTTCCTTTTTTAGCTTAGTTTTATCTTATTTTCGTTTAATTTTTTCGATTTTGCGTCATTAAATATTTTTGGTTCAAAATGTCTCCCAAAAACCCATCAGCGGGCTCTGGGCTGTCAATTTATGACCGCTTGCTGAATTTGTATCGTGATTGGCTGTCGTCAACCCAGTAAATTCGGCGTCATATTCTGACACGTGCTCTAATCACGAGGGACAACTGATGGCGAAGGGAGACGAAGCAAGCATGAGCGACGAAGAGAAAGAAATCGACATCGAAAGCGACGAGGTAAATTTATTTTTCTCTCTGTGATTGCTTAGGAAGTCACGAAAAAAACGATTTTGTTCGAATTTGTTTGATTCTGCTCAGGAGGGAACCGAAAATGTCGAAGAAACTCAATTCATGACCCAGGTAAGTTTTGTGTTTTGGTGTCAAATTACGCGTGCAAAATTATCCACATGGAAAACCACGTGTTTTTGTTTTGACCGCTTTATTTTTTCTTGGAGTTTTTCCTTGGGTAATCGGTAAGTCTGGCTTTCAGAATAGACTAATTTCAGTCAAAATATCTTTGCAATCTCTCAGAATCACTGTTTTACCATTTGTGTCGGCGTCACGCTATCATGGAACTTTGCCATGTTGATTCACGATTGAATATTTTATGAGGATAGGGAATGCGTGTCGTAATGAATTCTCTTAGTAGGTTTTGTCTGCAGGTCTCTTGTAATATTGTAACTAAACTATGTTCCACTTTATTTTGTAGGCCGATAAGAGAGCCCACCATAATGCCTTAGAAAGAAAGAGGAGAGATCATATTAAAGATAGTTTTGCTCATCTACGAGATTCGATACCGTCCCTTCAAGGAGAGAAGGCAAGATTGCGAAAGGCTTTCCTTTGCATCAGCAGTTTTAGCTCATTTGAAATTGCTCCGCCAGTAACTAGTATACTCTGCTTAATAAAACATTTGTAGTAGTGCTAGATTTCCTTTCTTGCCCCCCATCTGTATCACTGCAGATCCGAATCGAACACCAAAGTGACCATCGTTTTATGAAGCTTACTAGTAAAAATTTCATAATATTTATCTCATCCGTGTACATGCTGGTATGAATTGATTTTTGTTCAAGAATTCGACTTCAGGTAGAAGATCATGTTGTTTGATGAAGTGTGCATCCAAAGCGAAACTGAAAATAATTTATTTTCGTCTGTTCATCGCTTTCGATATTAATGATTTTAATTTCACTTAGAGGAAGCAAAATACAAGTCCTCTAATTAGATCGTATTGTGAAGACTTGCCCGGACAGGAAGACACACACTTGATTGAACATGTCTGGGAGATAATGTTGTGATTGACTGATAAGTGTCAAATATGTGAAATTGTTTTACTGATTCCATCAATATAGCGTGCAGTGTTGGTAAATGCCTCTCTTGACATAATATTGAGGTTTTCAGTCTATTTATTCTTGATTACTGTTAAATTGCCACTGGTTTCTGAGGCTGATGCATTTCAGTTCTTATTGCATGAGATAATTTCTCTTGCCTTGTCATATTGTTGTATTTTTTGTTTAAAATCATGACATTGACCATTTCACTCAAGAATGACCAGAGGGGAACTTATCCCTGCATTATTTGTCCATTTTCACAAACAGTGGTGATTGGAATAAACTACAATAATAATATTAATGATAGTAAATAATGGTGAAAAAGTAATATACAGGCCTGATTTTTTTCAGGTCGGATGTTTTTGAGGCCCATACATGCCTGATTTTTTTCAGGTCTGATTTTCGCTATTGCATAAATAGCGCTCTCTTCTGCGAGGATCGAGCATCATACATATCTACAACTGCAGTTCAAAATATATGAACTTCATATATTCATTGTAACCAAAAGTAATATATGTTGATATGAATGATAATGATAAATGTTTTCATGTTAGGCATCAAGAGCACAGATTTTAAACAAGGCTACTGACTACATACAATTTATGAGGAGAAAAAATCATACACATCAAGTGAGTATAGTCATACATTGCCATTAGGGAAATCTCATATCTCTTGGACTATGACACATTGTGTGAAATTTGATCATTACTGTGAAACTCAGGAAATTATGAAAACCAAAAACATCTCTAGAATTTTGTTTTGTCTAAAAGAGCAATCCTATCAGCAGTTAGAAAACTAAGCTGAGGTTTGTTCACTTGTTGTGATCCCTAAGGTGATTGGCAATGACACATGAAACATTCCTAATAGAACTTGAATGTGGAACGTTTCTAAGTTTGACAGTGAAGCTTCCATGGTTAAGTTGTCAGCTCACCGCTAAGAATAAATGGACTTTGGGTTCATCTTTTTCAACTATGGAAAATTGCCTTCTCGCAGAAAATAGTACATGGCTGAGGTAGATATAATTATAAGAAAACTTTGAGAAGAATTAGGACAAAAAGAGTAGGTGTCATTTAGCTTGGCATAGAATGCAATAGGGCATTTGCCGCTAAGCCATCAAGTGACCCACTTTTCATGAAATTATGGGCTATAACTTAGCTGAATTTTGATGACACTCTGAATTTTTTAATAAATAAGAAGGTTTATATGGAAGAAGTTGCTGGAGAGCAAGGCCTTGCTCTCCAGCAACATTTTCCATACAAATCCTCTAAATTTTCTGAAAGTTCAAACCGCTGTAAAAACAGTGCTCTGTAATTCCCGGGGCCCAAACTTGGTCGTTTTGGTATTTTGGATATGCTCTTTCCATCTCTGGTGTTCTTCAAGTTGTATCCCATAATATATATCTAAAATTGATCATGTGACCCCAGCTGCAAAAGGCCTATTGAATTAAGGTTTTAAAACTTAAGGCCAAATTTTACATATAATTAGCTGCATAACTGTCACATTTCAAAGGCTTTGAACATCAGAAATATCTTTTAAGGGGTCTCTTTTTATGAAGAAAAAGCCAATCAGTTGTGTGATAAATAAACTGTTAGCAGTCTTTATAAAAGGCCATCTTTTTTTTCATATGAACTTTTCTTAAAATATCTCATATTAGTTTTTATTAACTTTTTATTTTCCTTAACAGACTGACATTGATGACCTCAAACGACAAAATGGTATACTTGACCAACAAGGTAAGTCATGTGCGAATGATGAAACAAAATAATATGGTCCTATACAATGAATCGATAGTGTAGAATGGCCTCCTTAAAGCTGATGTTCGGGGTGTTAGCCCTTTGTCAGAGCTAAGGATGAAGGGCTAATGCTTGCTACATCAGCTTTAGAAGCTTTTTATGGTGGCCAATTTATATTCAACACAGTTGGTAAAACTTTCAAAAAAGAAACGACAACTTTGAGTTTAAATTTACAAGACATGTTTTGACATTCTCATGTCATCTTCAGTTAGAAATGAGCATTTAACGGTTGTACATTTGAATTTATATTAAGGTACGTTACAAATTACGTGTCAGGGCTTACGTTACATTTGAATGTTAAAAATGCGAAAAATGTAAATAGCATGCGCTTGACTAGATCAAAAAAATAAATAAATAAAATAATAATAATAATAAATAAAAGACAAAGGAACAAGGTTTCTTTTTGAGAGTTATTGTCACTCTGCTGTCTTTACGTCCAGTTGGTAAAACCAAATTATCCTGTTATATTTTCATTTGAAATTTACCCCCTTTATTTGTATGTGAATGATGAAAGGGTTGTTTGTTATGTTTTCCTGTTGGTTGTTGTCTTTTCTTCAACTCTCTTGATTCAAACCTGAAAGTTTATCTGCCAGAAATTATGAACATGAAACTTCTCCCATTGATATCCAGACATAATCCAGCAAACAGGTAACAAGAATGCTCATAGTTACCAGATAGAAGTTGTTATCTTGTTGTAACAACAAATTCTCATAAGTGAAATACAAGAAAATGTATAGCAGCCAGAAGAGAGAATTAACAAACAGATCTTGGGAGTTATAGGGTGTGTGTACCATCACCAAAATCTAAGCATTGTCAATTGGTTTTTGTGTTTCTCTCTTCACAGTCCGTGCACTGGAGAAAGCTCGTAATTCTGGACAGCTTAGTATTGATGCAACAACAGCTCTGCTGACATCCACAGATAATATCCTCAGTACTTCGCCGTCAGGAGATGGGCTCCTTGATGGACAACTGAAACAAGACCCAAGTTCACCTTTGTCCATCAAAGTGGAAAACAACAATGCAGAGGTCACTTCAGATGATGAGTACAGTAACAGAGCAAAAAGGAGAAAGCGGGACATTTAGCTTCTGAAATTTCTCTAGAGTGTGTAGGTGCTGCAAGATTTTCTCTTAATCGAACCAGCTGAAAAATAGCTTGTCTAATGCGGGTAGATTTTTTTAATTTTTTTCTTATTGTACAGTATGTAAACTGCCTAAACATCTGGAAAATTTGTAATTTAGGGACCTTGGGAAACTTTAGAGAGAGTAATGTGTAAACCTTACCAAACGGTATCACCATGATGCTGACTTCTAGTTACGGTAGATTACACACTTCTCTGTCAGCTGATGTTGCAAAAAACATGGACTAATTCATGATAACAGCTCATCAGAAAAAAGGAAAATAATTATTACAGGTAGCCATCCCAACAGGAGCTCAACATGAACTGAATATGAAGGACTGCAAGAGTAGGAAACATGGGTGTTGTTGTCCCGTGCTTGGTTACCTAGTCTATCAGGTGTCATCAACCATTGCATATTATGCAATGTGATATCAATTCTCATAACCAATGTTCAGAAAATCCATGGCAAGAAATTAGGAGAATTATCACTTTGATCAATGATTGACACTGTCAAGCCTGATGTTTGACATTTTAGCCCAGCATTCATTTATACTCATTGCAACAGTTAAAAAAAATCCTATTTTAGTTAAGGTCTGGCCAAATTAATGTAATCATGTAGCTCACTGTTTTACCACAAGACTTCCTTTTCTAAACTTTCTTAGAAATTTCAAGTTCAGATCTTTACTGAGTTAACCTTAAATCCTTCCATTGCTTGTGAGGAGATATTACTTGATCAAACACTTAATTCTCAAGACTGGTATCCAGATTAAATTGTCACCAATGATAAAGAGAATTGAACTTTTGGTCAGGTTTTGATCCAAGTCAGCTTGTATACAGCTTTGACAGCTGCATTCACATGTTTTAAAAAAAATAAGGTGAACAAAGAATGATGTAGCTGTGTCTGCCTGACCTAAGTTTTTTTCTGATGTTATGGGTTGGTTCTGCTTCTAATTTCTTCTTTTTCCTTGTACATTTTGTAAATTATTCCGGTGAATTTTTAATGTGGGTTTTCAATTGATCTGAAATTTGATTAGGTGCTGTATGGGAAATGTTCTAACCTCAAACAACCCTTTCACTGCCAGAAGTGACCATAGAGTAATTTCTCTTTATGATATCATGCAGCCTAGTTAGGAGAATAAAGATTTGAGTTAAAACCAAACTCTCAGAGCTTCAAATATGAGTAATGTATGGCGGCAGTGTGGAGAATTTTCAGTTAGATCATGGGAGTGAGAGGGTTTAATTGAGTTTAACTATCTTGTCCAATAACAGTCTGTATATGTAGTAAGTGAAGCAATTACGAAATATAGTGTCTGTTTTAATATCATTTTACAGTTCTGGATACTTTGTCCTTTTCTTCATTGTGGGTTGGGCTTTGGTCTGTAATATCACTGGAATGGTGCAACCATTTTCAGACTAAAAACATTTTGAGTTTCTTGTTTATATGTTTTACTGAATTGTTCCGCTCTGTATGAAGTCCAGTCAGACCTTCTCTCAGCCTCTGCATGAATTTAAAAAATTACTTTATTGGATATAACTTTGAAAGATAATGTCCAAAAGAAAGTGTGGTACACCTGTGAAATTTGATGAAAATTGTGCACATCTGAGCATTATGTCAGTCACTTTTTTTTGACAAACCATCACTGGTGTATGGCAAATCCCTTGTATGCTTTGCAGCTGTTTTGTAAGATGTCATGGAACAAATTTTCAACTTCTTCTAGAAGCCCCTTCTTTAGGGAGCAGAGTGTGACATTTCAAAGAATTTTTATGAATGAGACTACCTCGTCAATATTTCAAAGTACAATCTAATCTAAACACTGCAATATTTTTTCTTGGCACACATCCACAAACAATGCTTTTTCTGTTTCCCCATGGTACTCACTTTCCTCTCTCCACCCCTATTAGTCCCCCACTTGTCCCACTTTGGGCTACTATTTCCACGCCCTTTCTAACAATCATTTCTTTCCTTATTTAATACACCCTGTATAAAAATATTTTGCTTCTAATTTCTTATTTTCCAGCACTTGACCTTGAAACAGTCTTTCAAATTAATTTCATCCCCTCGACTCCAAACCTTACGGGGCTAGTTTTTACCTCAATATTGCACTCCTTCCACCCTGTTGATTGTAGGAGAGAGCCTGGAACTGACCCCCAAAGCAAAAATGGCGGACGAGAAGGAAAATGGAGAGTTGACGGAGGAGGAGGTAAAAGCTGAAGACTACAAATTAGAGGCAAATAAATATTTCAAGGGTAGGTTTTGATCAGAAAGGAGGGCATTTTTTTCCAAAGAATTGAGCGATTGACAGAAAACGGGAGTCACTTACACTTATTGGGAAAGCATGCATGATATCGAAATATTTTTATGCAACCGGCCGGCATTTTCATTTGGAAAAGTTAAGGAAATATATGTATGTATTTTTTTTTTATCTGTTTCATCTTAATCATGCATCATGCCCATTATTTTGTTCCCAAAGATCAAAATGTTAACATCAAATTTAAGAAACATTCAGATTATTCATCGCAGTTTTATTGAACTAGTGTCGTCGTATTCGTTTATCTGACCGATCATCGATAACTGAATTTCACCACTCTGTTTGATCGATGAAACATAGAAAAACTTGAATTCTTTAGGAAATTATTTTCGTTAAAATAGTTTTTAAATTGGAACGCGCACTTGGATTCTCTGTTTCAATTTTTGCAAAAGGATTCCAAACAACTTTTTAGAATGTTTTCAAAAGCAAATTAAGAATGAAATTGAAGGAAACCTCAAAACGTTAATTTTTGACTTCGAGTGAGACTGAACTTGAATTATCGTTAAGATAAAACAGATATGCTTATTGATTCAGCAATCTTTGAATGCATGATATGTAAACTCAATGATTATCAACTAGGTTGTCAAGATTCACATAAATTTAGGTGTGAAAAATTATATCTTATAAGTGCAGTGTTGCAAGGACAAACCAACCCCAACCCTTAGCTTGTTATCAGAGAATTTGATTGGGAGATTTTTAATATCTTATGTTATCTCAAAATAATAATAATAATAATACGGTATTTATATAGCTCTATTTCTATCACTATTCAATAGTGCTGTACAGTAGTGTTATAAATCACACCAATAAAATGTATAGAACATAAAAATCTCTGAAATATAAGTAAAAGAAACTAACTAATAAGGTAATCTGTAGTAATGAGGGTAAAAACTGTAACTTATAATGAAATTAACTAATTTAATTGCTAACTGACCAGTTGATTAAACCCTTCCATTACCAGATTCTCATTATTAATTCTCTTTGCTGTCCAGCATACATTTGTTATGATGGTAGTTTGGAGAATTTGATATTGTATCAACTAATAATCCCCCAATTGATGTTTTTCTTTATTCTTATCCTTTGTTACCTGTTAGGAGAAATTCTGTTTTAGTCACTTATGGGAGTTACATGTAAATGGTTAAATGTATAACTTGACTGGAACTGCCTTTCATAAAACTTGCAATTATCTGATGTTATTATCCGACTGTGCTTCATAGCGTACAAATAATGGGCGAGAGGAGTACAAAATTTAATGTCACTTGATATTTGTACTCCAGAAATAATATTATCTGTAAAATTCACCCGCACTGAAATAAAAATTTGACGTGTTGGATAATAAATCTCTTATTTGACGTTTTGTTGTGTGGTATCGCTGAGTATTTGTACTCATTGTTTGTATTTTGACTCACCCTACAGGCTCATCAAAATATGGCATAACTTGTAAAAATACTCACTACACAACAAATTGTCTGATAACATATGTATATTCCTCAGTTGATTTCTCTAATTTTCAAGCCTTGGGTCCTTGTAATAAAAGTGTTCCTTTAAAAGTTGAGTAAGTTTAGAAGAACTTTTTGTTGTTACAGGGAAAGAGCCATACTAGTTCTTTGTAAAGTGGCTCAGAAAAGTCAAAATCCATTTTTTATGGAAAGCTGTCAATTAATGTTAATTATACATGCTGTCAACATTAAATGCATCCAGTGACTGTTATTTAGCCAGGGGCTTATCTATTTTCTCTGCCCATGGTAAACAGTATGCTTCTTAAAACAGATATTTTCCAGAGACAAAATTAATATCTATACATGTTTTTTTCCTGAAATGAAGGCTAATGTGCTGTGTATATTTTCACCACTATTTTCATTTTTCTCTACCTCATTTCAGAGGGGAAGTATGATGAAGCTCTTGATCTCTATTCCAAAGCTATAGAGTTGAATCCTAATGTACCAGCTTACTATGGAAACAGAAGTTTCTGCTACATTAAGACAGAGTACTATGGCTGTGCACTTGATGATGCCAATAAAGCACTTGAGCTGGACAAAAAGTACCTAAAGGTATCATGTTACTTCTTTAACAACAATACAGTGGAACCCCAGTACAACGATCCTTGATATAACAATAATCCCAGTACAACGATAAATATGATAAATACCTAAAGGTATCGTGTTACTTCTTTAACAACAAGACAGTGGAACCCCAATACAACGATCCTTGATTTAACAATAATCCTGGTACAACGATAAATATGCTATGTCCCAGCAAAAGTTACAGTAAAATGTGTGGGACAGAACCCCATCTCGATATAAGGATAACTTGATATAACGATCTAATTCCACTGCTCCCTTGGCATATCGTTATATCAGGGTTCCACTGTATCACAATAAGAGTTTACCAGCAAGCTGTTATGCTTTGGGTATGATCCCTGATTACCTGTAGATCAAATTTGTTGATCTTACGCCAGATCACAACTGCCAACCATGGCCAAGTCTCATTCTTAATGAAAAATCAATGACATATGCAAAGATATCCTTGGCTGACACCTTTTCAAAATTATGTAAAGGGACATAAGCTCAAAGCATTTCCAAGAATTATAAATGAGATCTTGCTTCCCTCAAAACCTCTAATTCTAGATACAAAAGCATCATAGAGGAGGTTGTGTCAGAACTCTTCAGAAAACTTCTGTCATCTTAAGAAAAGATAACGGCTCCTCTAGGAGTCTCTTGAAAGTTAAACAGTATTATTGTTTATGTCTTCATTTGTTTTGGAATGATTTTTGTCACCAAGGACACTTGAATGGAGCACAGCTCTTGGTTGTTTAGATAGGGAGATCAGGATAAATGAGTTCAATGTTACTTTTTATTTGACGACCAAGTTCTCTTAATATTTGCCTCATTTCATTTTCTTTTAAATTAAAATGTAATCGCAAATGGTAATCTGGTTAATGTACAATTGCTTTTTTTTTCTTCTTCTGAATTTCAGGCATATTATAGAAGAGCATCTGCTTATATGGCTCTTGGAAAGTTCAAACTAAGCCTCAAGGACTATGAAATAGTAGGTAGATATCTTAAGTAACCCTTTGGCACCCAGAACTGATATACATGTTACCTCTCCTTGTGATTCCAATATGTTATCTTGCAGACAGGTTATGAGAACCAACATGCTCATCAGTAAGAGTTGTTACCCTGATGTAGTACAAATTCTCCTATCTAATTTACAAGGACATGTATGACTGTAAGTTGGGAGAATTGCTAGTTGGAATTTGGGAGCTAAAAGATTAATAGAGAAATACTAGATTGTGGGAAAACCTGATTAGCCCTCTAACTCTTATGAGTGATTGACATGTAACTTCTCCTTATAATAGCCATAGATTATCTAGCAAACAGGTAACGAGAATACTCAAACTTATCGGGTAGAAGTTGTTACTTTGATTAACTGAATTAAATTCTTGTAACTTCTTTACAAGGAAATGTGTCAGTAGCAGCCAGAAGGGAGAATTAGCAATCAGATCTTGGGAATTAAAGGGTCAACCAAGGCGCAATTGAGTTCAGTTGATCTGCTGGTTATTATTTGAAAAGGTTTTGACAGAGAGCAAGGGAATAAAGTCAATACAATTTTAGATTACTTTTGACAATCAGTGAAAACTTGGCATATTATCTAGATATGACAATTGGTGTCATGTTACTTAAACTGGAGGGAGATATATCAGTTGTGTGGACCAGTTCGGTGCAATTGTGTTGTTCTAATTTAGATCTCTCAGCTGATAAATGGCATGTTTACATTTGCTTCTGTAAAGGTGAAGAAATTTAGACCAAAAGACAAAGATGCCAATCTGAAGTTCACAGAATGCAAGAAGATTGTACAAAGACAAGCCTTTGAGAAAGCTATTGCAGCAGATGACAGCAAATCTGTGGCTGATTCTTTAGATTTAGACTCAATGGGTAAGTGAAATATATTTTCTACACTTTTTTGTTCTGATTCAAGTAACAAGAAATCAAAGGGTAGATTAACTTTGACCTAATCCAGACAAGTATAGATAAATTCTACCACGGCAGCCATAATTTTCTGACAACTTTTCATTATAGAACAACAGAGATGGTAAGTTTGGAACTCAGTAAAGAAAGAGAGAAAAATTTTTTTTTTGTCTTGTTATGAGAGTGGGACAAAGAGAAAATTCTGAGTCCCTATGAGGAATCAAACCTCAGGCCTTCAGATTATGTAGGTATGTATGTACATATGCAATCCCACCTTGGCCTTACCAACCACCGATGACACTGTTCTAGTTGCAACACCACAAGCTCCTAGGGTGCAGTATCCATGGTCGACATCATTCAAAGGAAGCCTACTTACTAACTATGTACACATATGTGTATACATAATTGACTACTCCCTCATTTTGGCTTTTCAGGGCCAATACAAAGGAATAAATAAAAAAAAAAAAACAATTGAACGATTAAGCATTTTGTTTAAAAAATAAAATCTCAACTGACAAGAGGCAGATCAGTTGGCTATATACAAAGTGCAGCCAAGAAGTTTAATTTTTTTTTGTCTTGTCACGAGAGTGGGACAAAAAGAAAATTCTGAGTCCCTATGAGGAATCAAACCTCAGGTCTTCAGATTATGTATGTATGTATGTATGTATGTATGTATGTATGTATGTATGTATGTATGTATGTATGTATGTATGTATGTATGTATGTATGTATGTATGTACATATGCAATCCCACATACAAAGTGTAGCCAAGAAGTTTAATTTGGGGTGATGAAGAACAAATTTAGTGAGTAGGAGGGCTAAGAGCTTGAACCACGAAGTACCAGATTATAGGTCCTATGCCCTTAACACTTGAACTCACTGCCTCTCTAAATGCCCTTACTGCATCTGGGAGTTTGATACATGACACAAAACGGCTGTTGATGTGTTCATCACTTAACTCCCTAAATGAATATAGCTCTCTGATGACTGTATTCTGCCCAAGAACAGCCATACAGACAGATACGGAGCTTACAGATGTCAGCTTCTTCCCTGTAATTGTCTACTTACTAGTTGTAGACTACGAGCTGTCCCTCCTTTTTGGCAAAGTTTGTTGCAGGAGTCTGAAAAGAATCAGTGGGAAAAAACATTGTTGCAAGTATGCTGCTCAGAGCTCCAGAGTTCCATGTACAGCTGTAGTGTGTTATCCACCAAATTTTTTTTGGAACTTACCCAACAGACTTCTCCTTGTAAAAAGCTCATTTTTAAACATAAACCAACTTTATGGACATATTTTTCAAAATTATTTTTGGTATCTTTAGTCGTCGAAGATGATTATGAGGGTCCAAGATTGAGTCCTGAAGGAATCACTAAGGAATTTGTAGAGGAACTAATTGAAAGATTTAAGGATCAGAAGAAAATCCACAAGAAATATGCATACAAGGTACCTTTTTGCACTTGTTTGTCGAACTGAAAGGTGGCATTTCTCTCTATGCTCATTCTAACGCAGTTCCCTGTTAACCCTTCAACTTCCAGAAGTGATTAATGTACAACTCCTCCCACAGTGCAGCTTGATGAAATTCTGGGGGGGGGGGGGTGGTGTGGGGGAACTGGCATTCCGACAGTGCACTGGACTCCAGAGCCCAGTTGTTCAAAGGCTGATTAACACTAACCCAGGGTTAAATTGCCATCTGGGATTCTTTATTCCTTAGTTCAAAAGGCTTTTTTTGAAGGATAATCTTCTCTATTCTGCGAAGGACATCCGGTCATTAATTTGTGGACAGTAATAGTTGTACTGAATTTTCTTTTAAAGCTTTCAGATCTTAAATCTGATTTCACACTAAATCTGGGTTACCTTAACCCAACTTCAAACAACCCAGCCCAGGTCCAGAGGTCTGGGTTCCAGACCTGGCTGGATCTATGTGTTGTGTGGTTGGGTAAGACATTTTCATCTCACAGTGCCTCTTTCTCTCTCTCCACCCAGGAGTAGGAATGGGTACTGGTGAATTGTCAGGGAAGAAAGAGAAAGAAAGTCTTAAGCACTCTAAACAACCAAACGTGTCTAGGTACAATGATAAGGTTGAGATCAAACGTCAGCATTATCAGGCGCCTCTGGCAGCCTCTTCAGTCCATGTAACAATCTCACCTTCCCACCCATCCCACCCCAGGGGAGGACATCCACCACACAGTAATCTTGTGCATGGGAAATTGACGTCTTCTACCCCTAACCCTGCAGGAGATGGGGCCTACGGTTTATTCGTCCTTATCCGAGAAGACTAGAATATCTATCCATTTCTTGGTATTATAGAAAGGTAGTAAATTCTCCTCAGTTATTATAAGACCACGAGTATTGGTCCAGCCAGGGCCCGAACCCTCGACCTCCCGTGCAACAATCTGGCACTCTAACCAATTGAGCTAACCGGGAGGCTTGATGAAATTCTGGAGGGGGGGGGGGGAAACTGGCATCCCACCCTGGGGATAGTAGTGATACTCCTAGTTGCTTCATCCTTCATAAAACATGGATGGGCTTCATCTGGTTGTGCCAACAGGCTTGAGTACAGACATTACCTTTTCTCTCCAGAAGTTAATGTCGTGATCTGGCATCAAATTCTCCAAGCTATTTTACTAGGAAACTTGTAGCAGTTAGAGGGAGAATCAATATCCCTCTAATATTCATGAATCATCCGGCAAAAGGTTAATGAGAATACTCAAACTCATCAGAAGTTGTTATTTCAATGTAACATCAAATTTCAACAGCTAATTTACAAGAAAATGTGTAGCAGCAAGAGGGGAGAAAAAGGGAATTTTTAATTTTTTTAATTTTTTTTTTTTGGACTCGTAGGGTTAATGGTTTCCCACGCTGTGTGTAGCTAGAATTTCCATTTGCTCTTTTCAGATTTTAGTAGACGTTAAAAAGATATTTGAGAAACAGCCGTCAATGGTTGAAATTTCTATTCCAGAGGTAAGTCTCTAAATTTGATTTTAAAAACTCTTAAGACAAGAAGCAAAAACAACTATTTTTGCTTGGACAAGTTGCTTGATGTGAGGTATTGGATATTGTCCAATGGCAGTGTAATACGAAGCATCCTTTTGTTATGTGTTAACTCTGCGTAGATCAGGTGCACTGGTTTCTTTTTCCATAACATCACTTTTAGTCTGCTTTCAACCTGAGAACATGTCTTTATCATTTACCCATGCACCCTTACCCATCTGCAGCCACATCAAGGAGTAAATGACCTTGGCTTTGCTTGTTCTGGTGATTTCTTTTTAATGTGTTTTCAGTTTTGATTGATTTTATGATTTTTCTGTTTCCTTCACAGAATGGAAGATTCACCGTATGTGGTGATATACATGGCCAGTACTATGATCTTTTAAACGTCTTCAATCTGAATGGACACCCCTCCCCTGAAAACCCCTATGTATCTTTTTTTATTAATATTCATGAATTTCTTTGGCACAAAAAAATCAAATGAAAAATTACAACATTTGATATCATGTATTTTATTTAATGAAGATGAGAGGATTTTCACATATAGATATATTTTCTTGGTAAAAAAATCATAGGTGCCGTCTTTGATTTTTAAAATAGTGGAAAGCTGGGGAGAGGAAGAAATTTGTATCAAGGGGGTGAGCAACAGTCAAAAGGAAGGAGTAGGGAGGGGTGGGGCAAGAAGACACCTGAACTGCAGTCTCTGAAAGGTGTGACAGGTTAAGATTGTATCGGGGGGGGGGGGGTTTAAAAATGCATTTTTCCTTCACAAAACCACAGCTATTTAACGGAGATTTTGTTGATAGGGGATCATTCTCATGCGAAGTCATTTTTACACTTTTCAGTTTTAAACTTTTGTATCCTGATCACTTTTTTATGTCACGAGGTGAGTCATTCAAAGGAATAATAAAAAAAGGGGGGGTTTTCTTCTAACATTACCAACTGAGCTAGGAATCTACAGGGCAAACTTTAAGTTGGTATTTTGTTTTTTCTTTGAATCATTGTTTTCTCTTTAGGAAGCGGATGGCGCAGTGGTGAGAGCACTCACCTCCCACCACTGTGGCCCAGAATTGATTCCCAGACCTGGTGTCACATGTGGGTTGAGTTTGTTGTCGGTTCTCATCCTTGCCCTGAGGGTTTTTCTCCGGGTCCTCTGGTTTTTCTTCCCTCCACAAAAACCAACATTCCAAATTCCAATTCGATCTGGAAGCAGTGGACAAGAATAGCCACCCAGTGGAATGTCCATTGCTAAATTATTTATTTATCTATTTATTATTAATTAACCCTTTAACCCTTTAGAATGATAAGCATCTGATTTCTCCACACAGTATCACCCCTGAATCAAACACTAAAGTCAGGAGAAAAAAGGAAATGATTGCTAACTCAAGAAGCTCTTGATTGTTAAACAAATTCTCCCAGTAAGCGCCATAGCAAATATATAGAGAACAGTATGGAGAATTTGCTGACTGACATAGGGTGGAAAAAGGGTTTAGCGACATTGAACAACTGATAAATTTGACAAGATTTCATTTGTAAGTATTCATGTTTTTCACAGGTAACCACGAGAGTGTTTACATGAATCAGATGTATGGATTTGAAGGGGAAGTGAAGTCAAAATATCCTTTTGAACTAATTTTTTTTCTCTACTTTCAGATATATCAATTTTCCAGTGAGTTTTGGGTCAAATTTTTCCTTTGAAAATGTGTATTGAACTTTACAATGTGTTACATATACTGCAGATATGTCTGACCTCTTCACAGAGGTGTACAATTGGTTACCTCTTTGTCATCTTATAAACCAGAAAGTGCTGGTAAGGCAGTTTGATTTTGAGGTAGCTTGAGAGCAGGCTCGCATTATAAGCGTTGCATGCCACGCATTTTTACACCCACTGGAAGATTTGAGAGGAGTCAGGGCGAGGTTTGCTAGGAGAGGTCTGGCACTAATAATTATTAGTACCAGACTCTCCTTCAAACTCTCTCCAGCTTGCTTTGCACCAGGCCATATACTGTCCTGTGGTCGAAAAAACTCTTATGCCAAAGCGATAATAATGACAGCTTGCTTGCAGGCTAATTTTGAGGTTATCGATTGAAACTTAAAGCACGTCTACATGTGCCCAGGCACATATAGAGGTAAAATCGAGACTCTGTCTTTTCATGGTTTTCTCATTTATTATGCTTCAAAATACCATGTGCATGCAAAGATTTGTCATGCTAAAGGCATCTGAAAAACAAAAATATCGGGTATTTCACATAGTTTCATTTCCTATTTGTCAAAAACTTGGACTCGTGCATGTGCTTGAGAGCCTCAACGGCAATTTGCAACTCTTCTGGAGTGTCTGAGTAGGTAAATTCTGAAAAATTTCATTTTCCACTCAGTGTTTTCTTCCCCTAGGTCATGCATGGTGGATTGTTTAAAAGAGATGATGTTAAGCTCGATGAACTGAAAACTATCGACAGAAATAGACAACCTGGCGATGAGGGTAAATATCACATAGCTTGGACTTAGTTTGGAGTTTTTCATCATTCAAATAGTCAGTCAGTCAGCCAGTTAGTCAGTTGATCAGTCAGTCAGCCAGTCAATTAATCAATCAGTCAGCCAGTCAATAAGTCCGTCAATCAGTCACTCAGTCTAACACCACATATCTAACTGAGAATCCGTTTTATTCTGCAGGTCTGATGTGTGAGTTGTTATGGTCGGATCCACAGCCACAAGTATGGATTATGTTTTTAGAGAAGTGATGATAACATTTGCCCTAAGTTTTCGTCTCGCCCAGCATAGCTTAACCTTCATATAACACTTGTCATTCCCCACAGCCTGGTCGATCACCAAGTAAGCGTGGAGTTGGTGTACAGTTTGGCCCGGATGTAACTGAACAATTCTGCAAAAATAACAATCTTGGTGAGTGTTTTTGCTTTTCTTTGTAATGTTCTCAGAATCAAAGCAAATGCGCTTCTGATAATGGTTACCAGACTCCCCAAGTGTGCAGCTTTTCCCCAAGAGTGACTATTTTTATAACTAGAGGCATATCCGGGTGTACTGAAGTGCTCATAACACTCAAATCTGAGCAACCGTCTCCGGTTTTCACACTTATTTGGTGTGGAAGTTCTCTATGGACGGGAAATTTATTACGTGTAAGGTAGATGCTTTCATGTACTTTTGAACTGTTTCTGAGGCCTATTTGTGTAAAGCGAGCTGAGGACCCACGCGAGCTGAGGACCCACGCGAGCTGAGGACCCACGCATTTAATAACAGGGCTGTGGTCTAGCAGTGCCCGGTGGCTCCGGGCGCCTTACTTTTGCTCTTGGGCGACTCATGAATCTTATTATTTTCATAAAAGCTTATGCTGGGCACCCTGGATTTCAGAGTTTCAGAGCACTGGGCTCCCTTCAATTTTTCTTAGAGCACAGCCTTGAATAAGATGCAAAATTTAAACAAAGCCCTACTTGGTCTCGTGCGTTTTCCCGAACTCGGGATATTTTCCTTGTTTCTACTTTGATTTCTTATTGCATTAATTTGCTGTAGTGGTCAGTTCTAATTTTGTTTCTCATGGTTTGTTTATTTTGTCGTGATACAGAATACATCATCAGAAGTCATGAAGTCAAACCGGAGGGCTACGAAATAGCACACGATGGAAAATGCATCACTGTCTTTTCCGCTCCAAATTATTGGTCAGTTGTGACAAAGCCGCAGATACGTTTCTTTCACGCTTGTAAACCTTTAACTACCAGGAGTGACTAAGGCAGAATTTCTCCTTACAACATTAATACGATGTCATGCAAACAAGTGATAAGAAGAAAGAAATATATCAATTAGGAGATTATTAGTTGATCCAAATCTAAATTCTCCAAACTAACATCATAATAGTTGTATGGCAAAAAGTAAGGAGAATTGCTAATGAGATCTGGGAGTGAAAAGGTTACTTCCCTTCTTAAAATACTTGTGGTTGTCAAGTCTGCGTACAGTGCAGTTATGTCGATTTTTATGATATGGGAACTTATCTTGCTCGCGAGGATACCTGCAGCAAGGACGCGCAAGGCACTGCAGAGTTTTTGGTAACGTTTTGTAACCAAAAATTGTTAGTAAAGAATTTTAACGGTAAAAAAATATTTAGGAATGATGTTTAGTGTGTTACCATTTACTGCAGTGTGTTGCTTCCTTTGCAAGTTTTTTATTCTGTACTTTTTTTTTTATCCTCTAACGTGAGTTTACTTTAACAGTGATGAAATGGGAAACAAAGGAGCGTTTATCACAATGGGAACAGACACGAAACCCAACTACACAACATATGATGCTGTGGTAAGTTTAAGATCTTCACCGATCTTCGCCCAGACGGCGGGGTTGGAAGGGAGAGGTAAATGTGGGTATGCCCTAGTTATTTGGGTAACATGCCCTAAGGGTACTTTAACTTCTCTTCTTGTTTTCCCTATTCAGCCTCACCCTGACGTGAAACCCATGGCTTATGCGAACTCCTTAATGTCTATGTTTGGTTTCATGTAACTGGCACGAGAGTTCCACCCTGTAACTTATAACTGCAGACGCCTTCCATCTATCTGGTTGACTTCGTGACATGGCATATCTACTCCAGTTAGTTAAGCAAAGACAAGCTCCCTCATTTCAATCATTTATATGGTTTGTGCAATCGTCGGTCATATGGAGAACTTACCATGTTTATAATCTATCCATACCGTGAACTGGTTTTCTGCACCAGAGGACATTCTGTGATCGTTACATGACCAGCAAATCCGTTTGACTCTAAAGGACTATGTTTCGTCTAAATTCTTCGCCACTTTTTTTTTTGTTTGTTTTTTAATAAAACAGAAGGGAAAACAGCTTTTGAAGTTATCATTTTCCTCAAAATTATCAATTTGAGACCACTACTACGAGAATTTGAAGGCATACCTGGTTACTAACACTGCGAACTGAAAACAATCAACGCAAATTTCATATCACTTATGTACGACCATCTGGCGAAAATGGGAACCGAAAAAATCTTCCAGTTTAGCCGAAGAAGACATGCTCTCTGATTAGCCGGGATATCCACTATTTATTCTTTTGGGAATTTAAGATTTTCGGGAAGTGCAAATTTCTTTGAAAGAATTTCTGTTTGAAAACAGTCTGTCTGACTATGAAAATAAATTCAGAAAAAAAAAAAAAAGAACCTCGATTCTTTGTATTTCATGCTATTAATTAATTTTTCATAAAGTACACTGATGATTATGGTTGCGTAGTGCCCAGGGCCTTCTCGGCTTTCAAAATGGCATCTCCCCTAAGTCAGCAGCCAATTTTTTAAAATCGAGAAGGCCCTGGTGACCAAGTTGCCACAAAATTTGCGCGACCTATCTGCAGGCGTTGTGCATGATTGTAAACTTGTTCTGTGAGCCTTTCTTTTCCTCCAAATCATGTCAACTGGCCGTCATCACAGGGTTTCCTTGTTTTCTGTCTGAGAGCTCCATTTCCTTGTGAGCACGTGTAACTTGTCCTGGAAATGCATTTTGTAGAAGCGTGTTACAGCACACGTGCAAATAAACCATTAAGGCACATACATTACATATTCATGAAAAAGGTTTATTATTTCGCATGTACAATTTCAGTCGTACAGTTACCTTTTTTGAAGAAAAAGGTTTTCAAATCATGTTTGGTTTTCAGAATATTCTCTGAGCGAGTAGCCACAATAATAATGGCTCCCTGTATCGCAATGAGAGGGTTTTCATTATTAAAATTTGGCTATTGTAGGAATAATTTGATACTTGATTGTTGGTCAGGAAGCCTTTGTTTTCGTATTATTTTTCAGAAATCTTTTTTTTTTTTTTTCTGATGAATATGACCGCCCAAGTGTTGACAAGTCCTTTCCTTCCTCTACTCCTAGAACAGGTTTAATTGTTTTCAACTGCAAAATAACTAGAAACACGGTACATCTCCCCAGGTATTTTTTAGCTTGGTTTCCATTTAAGAGATTTTTTGTGAGGCAAACCACCGAATTCAAATAGCAGATAAAATTGCTTGAAGCATTCTTGAGGTCGCTTAAATTAATTGCATGTTTTCCACTTCCCAAAGCTGTCAGACCGCAACAAAGCCAACCTTTCAGCCGCCAGGTATAGTTTACTCCGATCCACAAAGAAAGGAAACATTTACGACCCCGCTACTCAGAAGAGGTTAAGCCTTTTATGAGCGTTTTAATTTTGAACGCAATGTTGTTATTGTTTAAATGCGTCTCAGATTAAGTTAATCCTTTTTTCCTTCTGAGAAAATCCTTTGTACGTAATCGAGATCTATAGGGAAGCGGATTTTTTCTGTATGATTCAGATGTTGTCTCATTCTGTTTAGTTAGCCAGCGTTAAATGCAAAACCTTAATTTCGAACACAATTTCAAGCTGTCAGATTAAACCTAACTGCCACATTCACAAACTGAAATTTTTCCTCAATTTCCTTGCCTCGTTAAACTTTGTTGACATCAAAATAACACTGAAGAGGTTTTGTAAAGTGCACAAAAAAGCAGGTACTATTTTAAGCTCACTTTTGCAGTTCCCCTCTTCAAAAGATATAGAAATTGCAATCTGTTTTCTGACACTTGACGTCACTTTGGTTTATGAATTCACGGGCCGTCTCTGACATTACGTAAAGAAATAATTTGCCAATCACGTATGATAGAATAAAGTAAACAGAGACCATAAACGAACCAATTAGCTTCCAGTTAGTGCTATTTTGTTTGGAAAAATATAATAAAAAGAGTCTCTGTCTTCCGTTCGTAAGTAAACTCTTCAGATATCAAACAACAAAGCATTTTGCACCCCGATACAGGAGTCATAAGCGCAACACCATTAAAAGGCGAGCGCGCCTATTGATCAAAAAACGAGGTGAAACATCTTTGCGGTCGAAAGTTCGAGAAAAACTTGTTGTCCCAAGGAAACTGTGAAAGACGACAGAGTTTTAATGTCAAGCTACAGCCCAGTTAACGAGATAATGGATCGTAGAGTGAAATTTCCACACGATTTGGTTTTCCATGACATGGTCAAAGATGGAGACCCTTCAGAAATGTGCTCGTTTCTGAAACGGCCAAGCGTTGATACAGAAATGCTGGTGAACACTGAAGGAGGCCAAGCAAATCCGGCTTTTCATCAGCTTGTTAAAGACGGGAACTTAAAATGCATTCGAATGCTTGTGACTTTGGGAGCAGATGTTAATATGAGAGATGAAGATGGTTGTACACCGCTTCACCACAGCGTCACAGCCGGTAATGTAGCAGTGACGAAATTTCTCCTTCGTAGCGGAGCTAACCCTGATATTGGTAATTACGACGGCCAGTGTCCTGTCGATCTTACAGACGATTTCGACTTGATCGAAATGCTGGTGAAGCATTCACCGGAGGAAATTAGACGAAAAAGCATGGCAGCAGCCAAATGAGATAGAGTGCGAGAATTGTTCAAATTTTTGTATATAGAAAGCAGCCTTTGCTTTTAATCTGACTCCTTGACTTAATGGAAACGGTTGAAGGGCTTCGCCGAACGTTTAACGCGAAGAACTTTGAATATGCGCTGATATAAAGACTCTGTAAATCGCCGGGACACTTCAGCAGAACAGAAAAGAAATAACAACAAAGAACTGAAAATGTTTACATTCATATAAACGTAAGAATCCTTTGCTCAGTTTTGGTGGAGCTTTTGAACTTTTCTTTATCGTTGTTCACTGGCTGATAAGTTAGACACAAACGCCGATCATAGAGCCTTTTTGGCAAAAAAAAAAAAGATTCAGAACATTCTAAAGGAGAGATCGGGTTCTAAATGTGGCTGTCGTCGGCAATAAAATGCAAAATATTGCGAAAATTCGCTTAATCAAGTACGTGTAAAATATATATTCAATTATTCTGAGTGAGGTTAGGGAAAAGGGTAACATATGAAATATTTATTGCTCATCCAAATGCCGCAGATTTCTTCGGTGCCTTTAATTCTGTATAGTTATCGACTTGACGCGGACTTAAATTTATTAAGAATTCTCTCGAAAACAAACCACGCGGCAGTTTTCGTCGATTGAGCAATCTTGTAGACATACACAAGTCAACAAAGTTGAGCGATATGTAATTTTAGAGTTTGGGCTCATTCAATAAGGTTGTTGAGTTATACGCATATTAAAAAGAATCCCTTTAAAAAGATTTTCCGTCTGTGAACTGTTTTGTCCTGTTTAGAGAATTCTTTCGGAGGGGTTTTCTTATCAGTTTGCAACTGCACCATACCTTTTTGATCCGAGAGCAACCATTTTAGTTCCCTGTGATCAGCTGACATTGACATTAGTGGCGAGATTTGCTTGTCGAAAGGAGTTTCCTTCTCAATAACGAAAACATTTCTTTTCTTGACAAAGCTTTGCCAGGCATTTTCAAATACTGCAGCACAATTTTCGAGACTTTTCTCGGGAATCTCGAGCGTTCTTAATGTAAACATTTTCCAGAACTGATATCTGATGATATCTTAAGAAAATAATTGAAAATACTTTTCTTGGCAAACCTAAAGATGCCTCAATTAAAGAAGGAAGACTAAAGCTGTTTTGATATGAAAGTGTGCTTTTCTCCAGGGAATTAAGAGGAAATTGAATTTTCGGAAACGTAGAAAGTGCTGTTCCACCGTTGTAGCTTTCATCGTTAAAGGACGAGATGTTACATGTCCACGTTAATTAATAACTGTGATATAAAGTAGATTTTGGTGTAGTAAAATGAAAAAAAAAGTTTCATCATCGGTAATGCATTGAAAGTTAAATAGCTTCATTTGAATGTAAGCTTATCGCGTAATGACTACATTTTTGTGGTCACCGTTCATTAAGGTTGAAATGTTTGGTATACAGTCCAGTAGAGGGTTACTGTGGCTTTTAAAACGAAAGGCTTGAAAGTGGACAGAGCTACCTTAAAACTTCAGTAGTTTAACGCTAAATACCGAGTTAATTTTTAATCCGCCGAGACTCTATAGCGTACTTCAACGGACAAAAACGCTAGATTATCAACCGAAGAACTTGTTGACCACTCAATTCTTCGCAAAGAAAGAAGTTTAAGTGTGTTTATGGAAAAGTGTTTCATCGGCGATTGAGCTTTATTTCCTGTCAGAGACGTAGGTATGTATTTTATGCTATAAGGACCCGGTTAAAACGACTTCTTTGCTTTTTGACAAAGGATTTTGGAGTAGAAGCGTAAATGCGTTTCTAAGCCACGTCATTAGTACTGTATTCATGTGCCGTCTAATTAAATTTGGTGACGAATGTAAAAGACAGTGATTCTGTAATCCCTTCTTTGTTGAGTTATCGCACCTTGTAGACACTACTGTGCGCAATTGAGTCATGAATGACGTAAAGACTCCATTTGAGTACCAAGTGTAACAGAGCATTGTTTGCAAGACTTGGCGCTAATTTGTCGCACTTCTTGTCTCATGGTATTCTAACAAAAAAAAAAAAACCTCCACAACATAAAAAAGTGAGTATCGACCCGGAATCTATTAGTCACCCTGTGCTAGTAACAAAAGAAGGTACTGTTTGTAGAGCCTGTAAATTCTTTCGGTGTATTTGTATGGAAAACTAAAATTTTTTTTTAATCGTTTCCGGGATTTTCCGAGGTTAAAATATCTTTAAAACCGACGTTTCGACCAGTTTTACTGGTCTTTCCTTTAGTCTTTCAGCTTGGTAACCGCACATGATGTTTCGTGATCATTATATGACTTTTAAACGATGTCAAATTGCGCGGGAAATGTAGTCTGAGGTTTGTCAAGTATTTCTATTTTTGCGATAACTCCCTGCCCATTACAGTCTTTTTTCATGATCAAAGAAGGAGTTTAGGACTGGTTTCCATGCTTCAACGTGATCAAAATTGTTAAGGACTCTCATTCCGCGATGTTTCTGACGTAGTGACTCAATTCCTTCTAATACTTTTCTTTGCTTTAATCCTCTCTCTGTTGCTACGATCTCTGCGTTTCCCTAATCAACACCGCTTTGGCACTCCACGGTGTGTTGTGCTAGGCCTCCATCTTCTTTGCCCATCCGTTTTTCGGCCGATAGAATGTTTCCTTTATGAAGGTCCTCATTTGTTAGTCTCACTTTGTCCATGTATTCTTTCTTTCTTGTTTGGAAATGGCATGTGTGTTTAATCTCTTTTACCTTTCTTCCAGGCTTGAAAGCAACTCGAAAAGAGTGACGGTTAGCAGTTCTTCTGAACTGCTCAGATAACCCTTTTAAATATGGTATGGTCACGACTCCACGGCTTTCCTTTTCTTCCTGTTCTCTTTTGTCTACCTGTTGAGGTCTTTGTTCCATAAATCTTCTCACTGTTTCTCTGGAGTATCCACTTGCTAAAAAAACGTCTTCGATATTGTGTAGTTCGTCTTCCAGGTGTTCTTCATCACATAAAGCCATTTGTATGGAAGGTTGATAAGTTTTGGTGTGTCCCAGCCTCGAGCCCATTCTCTAACGGACAAGCGCTTGGATTATTCATTAAGAATTTAAGCGGGCGTGTTTGAACTTGCCCGCCCCGAGTACTCGGATGGAAGGGTTCTTGTGCGAATTGCCTGGGAAGGCTGTCCAAGCGGGTCCTCTCACGACCATCCCTGGTAGCACTGGGTGTAGCGTTTACGGCGACCAAAATCTAAATTCTCAAGTTCAAGGGCGTGTCGCTCCAAAACGCGGTTAACGAGGTGTTTGGGACTATTTTACTGATCAAAATGACAACCCAAAGTTGACTGTTTGCACGAATCTTTATTCTTGAAAGGCAATCG